ATTTATTTCCTAAAAGTTCAACTCATATCCTAAAAGTTTCAATTTATATCCTAAATATTTAACTCATATCCTAAAATTTCAATTTATATCCTACAAGTTCAATTCACAAGAACAAAACCTAAAAACTAAAAGTTCTATTCATATCCTACGAGTTTAAACATATCCTAAAAGTTCAAGTCATATCCTAAAGGTTCAATACATATGCTAAAGGTTCGATTTATTTCCTAAAAGTTCAACTCATATCCTAAAAGTTCAAGTCATATCCTAAAGGTTCAATACATATGCTAAAGGTTCGATTTATTTCCTAAAAGTTCAACTCATATCCTAAAAGTTCAAGTCATATCCTAAAGGTTCAATACATATGCTAAAGGTTCGATTTATTTCCTAAAAGTTCAACTCATATCCTAAAAGTTCAAGTCATATCCTAAAGGTTCAATACATATGCTAAAGGTTCAATTTATTTCCTAAAAGTTCAACTCATATCCTAAAAGATTCAATTCATATCCTAATAATTCAACTCATATCCTAAAATTTCAGTGTATATCCTACAAGTTCAATTCACAAGAACAAAACCTAAAAACTAAAAGTTCTATTCATATCCTACGAGTTTAAACATAAACTAAAAGTTCAAGTCATATCCTAAAGGTTCAATACATATGCTAAAGGTTCAATTTATTTCCTAAAAGTTCAACTTATATCCTAAAAGTTTCAATACATATGCTAAATACAATGTTAAATAAAGTTAAATACAATGTTAAATAAAATTTTAACATTTCTATAAACCCTAGATTTCTATAAACCCTCGATTTTTATAAAATGTTAAATAATGATAAATACAACCTAAACCCTAGGTTTCTATAAAATACAATGTTAAATAATCAATTGAAACACTAGTCATTTGAAACTAATTCTTAGCTAATAAATAAAACATTATAAGCTTACATAAAAGATATAAATTGTAATTCTAACCTAGAATTTTTAGGAGGTGGAGAAGGAGAGAGACGCAGCAGCGGCAGAGGCGACGGCGACGGGGCGACGGCAGCTAGGCGGTGGTCGTTGGTGTCGTGGGTGGGGCCTCTGGTGCTAGGAGTTGCAAGGGGGGGATTTGAGTGTGAGAGAGAAAAGAGAGATTTTGGGAAATTTTTAGAGAACTATTAAAGAGCTTGAAATAATACATTAAAAGAGAGAACTATTAAAGAGTTTAAATTATATTACAATAATTATTTTTATGTATGAAATATTTTTAAAACTTGTATACGTGTAATATTGGGTTGGTTTGGTATCGGTTTGATTTTTTTTAGTTAAAACCAAACCAAACTAATTATGGTCGGATTTTTTTTGTAACACCAAATAAATCAAACAAAACCATAGTCGGATTGGTGCGGTTTGTCTCGAATTATCGGTTTGACTCGAATTATCGGTTTGACTCGAATTATCGGTTTGGTGCGGTTTGTCGGTTTCCTTTGTACACCCCTAATTACAATTACTATATTAAAAAATACCTTAATTAGGTTAGATGCAGCTCATTCAATAAACAAGCACTATCACAAATCCACATTGTAACATGGCATGTTTAGAAGTTGAGCTTTGTATTCTTGCCATATGCAAGTATTGGCAAATGAAAAAGAGCCTTTCCCCAGTACATTAGTTAGTCCTAATTAATATTTCAACATACTTACGTCCAAATAGTGTGACCCCATTGCAAAACAATTCACTTTGGCTTAAAATGTACTGTAAAATATGTTGATTTATATCGGGAGTTTTGGCTAATATTACATATGGGGACTTTTCTTATCCTTTTACCTTTCATTGAAAATACACTTCGGGGTCGTTTGGTAGGGTGCATAAGAATAATGCTGAATATGATGTATTAGTAATGCTGGTATTAGTTATGCTTGCATTAGTTATGTTGATATTAGTTATGCTGACATATTTCTTATCCATTGTTTGGTTGGATGTATTAAAACATTGCACAATTTCTAAAAGAATAGCTTGTTTACAAAAATATCCTCAAAACCAGTTCATCACTCTCTAACTTTTTAAAAGAAATATATGTTGAGAAATGTTTTTATATGAAAAAGTTTAAAAAAATTATTTGATTTGTCTACCTATATTGAAATATAGAACTAAATATTTATTTATAAAAAAAGAAATATGCTAAGTATTTATTTATTTATTAGAGATATACTTTTATTTCTCACTATTTGGATTATTTTAAACTTGCATTAATATAATAACTAGCACATTTTAATCAAGCATAAATTTTGAAGGACAATTTTGTCTTTAACTAAGCTAATGCATGCATTAAAAACCATTGCATTGCTAATACCATGATTTTCTATGCATTAGTTATGCATAGGATAATACCAAATAGAATGTATAACTGATGCTTGCATAAATAATGCATAGGTTCAAAATATCTACCAAACAATGTATTATTAATACACAAAGCTAATGCATACATTATTTTATCTAATGCATCCTACCAAACGATCCCTCCAGTATAAAGGGCTTTTGTACTTATTATCATAGCCCCGCGCGCGCACTCTCTCTCTCTCCCAATATTTTAATCAGATTATGATTCTTTGTTCAACTTTTACAAATTGATCTCAAATTTCTTGTAAGAACAATTGAAAATATGACCAACAAGGGGTGTGGTGGAGTGGTAAGTACTCCTTCATCCTTAACTAGAGGTCTCGGATTCGAGTCGCCTTTGTTAGGGAGCGCTTTACTCCAATGTGGGATTTTCGACGCGAATCAAATATGGTTACCAGACACCGGATGGGAAACCAAAAAAGACAATTTAAAACATGATCTAAATTAGTTAGAATTAGTTCAACTTGATCGATCTGCTGAGGAAGGAAGTCGACCAAATTCTTTATTTGCCAAATCTTGCTTCCTTCTCTAATACTAACAATGTTGGCTATAAAGCCCAAGAAAAAACAGCATATTCTCCTTGAAATACTTTAGAAAACAGTTTTTTATATTATTTAAAACTAAGAATTTTATCATAGTTCTCATAATTTAATAAAGTAAAGGTGTCGAATCTCGTCGAAAGGTGAAGAGATATATTAGTTTACATATTTTTATTTTCATTTCAAAAAATTCTTTAGGACGGAGCGGTCATGTGACTGAAGTGTTGAATCATTGCACTTACATCTCTAACCTAAGTGGCATAAGATGGAGCTACACCAAATTTGAATCTAAAATTCTAAGACGGTAAGGTGCAGTGTGTTATTACGAACTCCTACTTCAAGTCAAAATAAGTGTATTTGGATGTACCTAGCTAGATCAATTTACAATTGATTAGTCACGGGCTCACAGCTCTCGGATCTTACCACCAAGGTTGTGGTGTGAGAAGTCTCGTGTTTGAATTTTAAAAATAAAAAAACGGTTGATACAGAATGCTTCTTTTTAATGGGTACAAACTATAGGATACAAATTTGGATTAATCGAAATTTTAGAATGAGTATTAAACACTAGCCGCAAGACAACGATTAGAACTCTGATCCTAATCATGAAATGCAAATTGCAGGAAAGTTAAAGGGGTTTAGAAAATTTCACCCAAATAGGTCCAAAGCCGCAGCTAGTTTTGTCTTCTTGCAAACATTTTGCGGGGCCCGCCAAATGTTTATTACTTCTGTTTCAATTTATGTGAACCTGTTTGATTGGACACGGAGTTTAAGAAAAAAATGGATACTTTTGTAATTTGTGGTTCTAAACAAGTCCAAATGGGGCCCAGAGTATTTATGTGGTTATAAAGTTTCTCATTAAGGGTAGAGTTGTAACTTTAAGCTAAATTGTTACCAAATTTAGAAAGGATTCATTGTTTTTGGAACAGACCAAAAAGAAAATAGGTAAATATAAAGTGGAACAGATGTATTTTTTATTCAATTGTAACGGCTGCCTATCAGCTAAAATACCATTTTCGCTCTTCACCTCCCCCTTTATATACGAACCTTCCTATCTCTTTCGCTCAAACACCCAACTCTTCTTTTCACCTTCAATTCAAAAGTTTCTCTTCTCTTCTCTTTCACCTAACTCTTTTAACAAAAATCTCATGGCTAGGGGAGGCAATAAGCTCACAAAGCTCAAATCAGTTTTGAAGAAAATGCAATCTTTCAAGGTAGGCCGCGGTATCAACGAGAGCCTTGTACTAGCCACCAATAATTCTTACTCTGACGAAGATTCATATTCCTATGATAGTCATTGCTCCATGAAAGACCAGCACACTGTCTACGTTGGCAAATCACGTCGCCGTTACTTTGTCAGCTCTGAGGTCGTCTACCATCCACTCTTCAGGGAACTTGTTGAAAGGTCAGGTAATTCAGAAGATTCAATCGCTGTTGCCTGTGAAGTTGTTCTCTTTGAACACTTGCTTTGGATGCTCGAAAATGCAGATCCTCACCAGCCAGAGTCCTTGGATGAACTTGTCGAATTTTACTCTTGCTGAACTATTTTACATTGCGGAATTCATCAAAAAGGAAAAAGAAATAAAGATATTGCATGAGGAGGGATTCCCCGCAGTCAGCTTATTTAGCGCTATTAGGAAAATGGTAGAGATGATTAATTGCTTACATGGGTGTAACGATTCGCGAAAAATTATATTTATAGTACTTTGTATTACATGTATTAATAAATATATATACAAGTGTTGGGATGTATATATGCATAATACCCTTACATTTTTTCTGAAGCAACGTTTAAACAAATTAACTAATTTACATTCTATCATCCCTTGAATCTAAGTAAAAAGTACAATGTGAAGATTAAATAATATACTATCTATCTCATTCTATGAAACTGCATCGCTCTTAACACCAAGCTTGCACCTCTTAAATTTAGTAAACTTGAAATTAGAGGGAAATCAAATGAGCATGCATGTAGCAAGAATAAACAGTATGATTTTGCTTATTACAATAAGAGCAGATCTGAATGGTTTACTTTCCTTCTGGCTACCCTTTCTTATCTGCGCTAATACTTTTGTTTACCCTCCAATTTGGAGAACAATTAAATTTTATATTGTGGTTTTAAGGACATGTGATTTCGTTCAATACTACTTCCTCCGTTTCATATTATATGAGGTAGTTTGATTCGGCACGGAGATTAAGAAAAAAAAAGACTTTTGAAACTTGTGGTCTTAAAAGCTTAAGGAGTAAAAAGTTTGTGGGTCATGACATTTGTGTAGCTATAAAAGCTTCTCATTAAGGGTAAATGGGTAAAATGAAAGAGTTTAAAGTTGAATTATTTCCAAATTTAGAAATGTGTCCTTTGTTTTGGAACAGACGAAAAAGGAAAGTACCTCATTTAATATGAAACGAAGGGAGTAATTGATAAGCAAGAAAATAAACGAATAAATTAGAGAATAAAATAAATCAAACAAGTATGATAGCCACGCCTCGACCTCAACTTGGGGTAGTCTCGAGGTGGGATAGTAAGAATAGTAAATGATAATGCAACTCTGATGAACAGTAAGTGAAATAGCAGGGAAGTAATGATTGTATATATTCTTATCAGTGAACAATGATCATGCTTACAAATGATTGGGATCCCTCTTTATATAATAGAGGATTCCTAAATAAGGTACACTTCTAATTGTAGTAGGAAACCATATTAACATCTAATTAATCGCTGTAGATTGATTCGTTCCGAGATACACGCCACGATCCTTGACCAATCGCGGATATCTCGCCTTTTCCGTTATCAAGCTATGTCGATGTCACTCGAAGTCTGGCTCTTTCTGGCCGCAATCAAGGTCGACCTTGGTCCGGACTCGACGTCCTAGCTCTTTGACATGACATTCCTATCTCGACCAAATAATAAAATCGAGTAGCCCCGATTTCTACCGTATATAGATAGTACCCTCGTTTCTTAGAGTAAAATGATAAGAAACGACTTGAGCCTTGGCTTTCTGGAGACCCCGATAATGATATCATCCCCGTTACGTAAGTGATCGAAGTGACCTAAACGTGCCATCGATACAGTTTCCCAAACCATTAATGCTTCCCAGTGGACGGTCGGCCACTAGCACCACTGAACCATCGTCGCGAATCTATAAATACAGGCTTTTTGGTTGAATCAAAATTTTACTTTCACCTCCACCAAGTTTTCTATGACTCTTACTCTCTCCATCTCTTCTCTTTCATCACTTGTTGAGTGAACTTTGCTAGTACCAAAAATACCAAATTTCACCTTTTTCAACTTCCTTCTACCTGAATTAATGGCGAACACTCCAAGACCACCCCACAAAAGGAGAAGGCTTCTTCCTCTTCTTCCCGGCTGGCCGATGATAAAACGCCGGTGGAACCGCTCCCTCACGAGTATGTTCCCGGTCCTTGTGTCTTAAAATCCGACTTTAAAGTCGAGAACCCTCCATCGGTCCCTAGACAGTGTGAACACGTGTCGAGATACGTCTGCTCGATAACAACGGGCCATCTCGAGGCTGTGAAGAGAGACTGTAACTGGGGGTCCGAGGTCGTGTTACAAATCCCTTCTCCTGAAGAAAGTATTACAACCCAATTGTCGCCGACTTTTGCAAGATGTAGCGGGTCACCCTCGGCCAGGTTCATCCCTCATTTTGGCGTATAGTGATCATGCTCCGCTTTATTTCTAGCAAGGCTGAGGGGTTGGATTTCACTCTCATCCACCTCATGCGGTTATATCGACCTCGACTTTTTTTCGAGGGTTGATCAAGCTCCAACGTCAAGCAATGAAGGCCTTGTTCGCGAGCGTCGATGAGAACAAGGGCCAGGCTTGGATGAGCCGGTTCATACGAGTAAGGACCTGCGACCTCATCGCATAAGAGAAATTGTCATTCCTCGAGAAGTGGAACCCCGATCGTAAGTAACGTATTACTCATTAGTCTTCGTACTTAATTTTTTGCTTTATGTAATGCCTTCATCTGCTATGCAGCGGTTGTTTAGATGCCTCACATGATCCTCGACCTCGAACACTGGGTTCGAAAGTTGGCCTCGACTTTTTCCCATGTTGAGCGCTGCTGGCATGACTTGGCAAGGGGCAGATGGGAGGCCAAGAATCATGGTAAGCTTATCCTGTACGCTTTTGATGCCTTTTCTGAAATGTTTCTTTTTATTTATACTTGACTCCCTTTTATGCAGGCCTCGGGTACGTTGCTGAAATGAGGCCGGCCCCGCTTGGGGAAGAAGTCGAGTCCTTGATTCCAAAGTTGGGAAAAAATAACAAGAGGAAAAGGGTCTCGAAGTCTGAGAACCCCCAACCTAAAAAGGCTCCAGCTCGAAGACGTAGAAGAAATGTCATCCCTCTGACTATAGAGTCGGTCCACCAGTTGGGGGAATAAGAAGAGGAAGATGAGGGCGATGACTAGGCGCTAGTGGTTCGAGCAAGGAAGTAGGTCGAGACCGCCAAGCCTTCCAAGCCTGAGGCGATTGTTGAGACCTAGCCTCATGATAAGGAGGCCTCGAAGAAAGATTCGAGCAAAGCCCCCAAATCGTTTGAGGTTAAGGTTATCCCTCGGACATCAACGAACATACCGGAGGGGGACGGTTCTGAGACCACAGGGCTGAATAGAGCGCCCCGAGCGATTCGCTCAAGGTTGTGATAGTAGGTCACTCTCCTTCTCTACCGGCCTTATTCGAGGAGGCTATAAGGTATGCTCGGGCTCTACACACCTCTAACATAGGCAGAGTCCCCAATAAAGAGGATCCTTTTTCGGGATTGCTTTACCAGGGTCGATGATGTCGCTAATCTCAGTGAAGCATCTTCCCTCTTAGAAGAGGCCCAATGCCTTTTATCTCGAGTAAGTGCTAATCCCCATTGATGCAATTTTCTTTTCCTTCTTCTCCCTTTAACCTAGCTTATATCTTTCTTCTCATATAGGCTTTTACCAAGTCTCGGGCCGATTTGAGTCAATGCAAGGTCGAGCTTCAGAAGACCTTGGAGGAGAAGAATGCTTTGAAGTTCCTTTGCAGTCAAAATGATAAAGAGCTCAGGGATCTTCGAGCAGACTTGGCCTAGGCTTGTAAGGAAGAGGCCAATCTGAACGAGCAGGTAAATGTTCTTTTAAAAACATATGGGCTTGACCCAAGAGTGAAGGCTAGCACCTCGATGTCTCAGTTGCAGCAAAAGATTGAAATGATCGAGCTGCTTTGGGGGGAAGTCAATCAAGTTAAAGCTGACTACAATGGGTGGAAAGAGAACATGGACCGCCTAGCTGCAGAGAAAGAGGCTGCCTTCGTGCGGTTGTTATCAGCCCATGCCAAAAGAATCGATGAATTCAAGACCGAGCTTATTGAGGCTAAGGCGGAGGTCAAAAAGGTAAATGCCTTAGCTGACAAGTTCATAGCCGTGTATCTTGATAATGCTGAGGCTTCCCAAACTCAACTAAGGGAGGCCGCCGATCGAGCGCGATGGAGTAATGACCTGGCCAAGTGCCAATCTCGGAGGGAGACCCTCGAGGAAATCCATACTCGAGGTTTTGACCTCTCCAAGGAGATAGCACAAGCTAAGGTGCTTGAAGCCGATGCTAGGTTACTTGCCTCCTCTGATGATGACGATGATGATGAAGGCATCCAGGATGGGCTTGATAACGGCGAGGGTCCTGAAGGGGAAGCTCCCCCCGAGGGAGAAATTAGCCCTGATCATAGTTAGGATTTTATTTTTCCTTTTCTCTTTTGTAAGACCCTTGTCGGTCCCTTGTCGATATTTTGACATATATAAAAAGAAATTTCTCTTTTGAATGCCTCCTCAAATTTTGTCTTCAAACATTGTTTCGTGCCTTGTACAATTTTAGCTTATTTTTATGTTTCAACAATATGTTCGAGGTTTTAGTTTTAAATGACTTGATCGAAGCCACAATAATAATACTGCTTTTATAGTCGAATTCGAGTGAAGCCTGAATTTGAAGTGAAAAGACCCTTAGGTTTGTTTTGAACGACACAGGATCCTCGATCAGTTAGACGAGTAGGTTCCTATTTGAATTCAGGATCGCGGGACCCTTAGGTTCAAATAGAGTGAGAACGTGTTCTTGAACTCAAAGTGTGTTGGCCTTTGGGCTCTTTGAGTTGGGCCGATGTGGCCTCCAAATGATGGCTAATTTTTCCCTCTTTCGGCTTAAAAACATAGTAAAGTTTTCTTATGCCTTAGCATGTATATTTTTTTTATTTTTTTTTGTACCCATTGGGGTTTTTGAGGGTTTAGTGTTGATCGAAACCCTTTTTTTGTGCCTTAGCACACGTTTGTATTTGAATAATTTGATACCTCTTAAGGTTTTTCGAGGGTCGATCTTATCGAAGCCCTTTGATTATTTTGCTGAGGGTAGCCCTTTTTAACCGGTTTTTGGAGAACTCCAAGGCCTGCTTTTATTGTGGGGTTCGGACATCTTCGAGCCGCGTTAGTTTGGCCGTAACCTTTGGGTGTGACCCTTGGTCTTACTTTCCCATTAACACTTCGAACTTGTTCGAAGTGTTAGTCCCCGAGAATGATGGCCTTAGCCTACAAATCGAGGGGTGCCTCTTTAAGGTCTTTAGGTAATTCGAACATGTTGGTTTTTGACGGCAGCCCCCGAGTAGGGGGTAACCATTCGAGATGTATTTATACTTGACCCTTGAGCCATTTACCGTTCGAGGTATAGTTGTACTTGGCCCTTGAGCCATTTTTCACAAAAATCATAAGCATGGAGCTTGTATAGTAGAAAGTTTTCTTTGAGGCACAGGATATTTGATAAGGAAAAATTCTTCTTTGAATAATTTATAAATGCTTACATGTTTTGCCATTGGGTCTCGATTAATCTACATTGACACAGTTCATTCGACCATTTTGCCCATTACAATGTTTCCTTATCGAGCCTTTTTGACACGAAGTATTTTCCCTTGCAAAAACAAATCATCATAGGGTGATGCCCTCCAGTATTCGAGGTTGAATATAGAGAAGCCTTGGATACTGTTGAATTGTCCCCAGGTAGCACATATAATTGTTGCCTCGTTAAAAACCTCGCCAGAAAACCCCATTTTGGATAAAAATCGATCTAAGGGAAAAAGAGTGCAACACTTGCTTGAAAACCTAAGGTCCTCGTGTTGAAGAGGTTCTTGACGTCTTCGATCGAACACCTGCAATAAGTTAGTGTCAAATACAAATGGAAAGGGAGGAAATCATACCTTAGAAATAATATCGTTTGAGGAGTGATATATTCCAATTGTTTAGCAATTGCTCACCCTCTATTGTGCCAAGTTTTTAAGATCACTTCCCAACGATATCGAGGACTTGATAGGGTCCTTCCTAATTTAGGCAGAGTTTTCCTTCATTAGGATCTCGAGTGTTGATGGTGACTTTCCTTAAGACTAAGTCCCTGATTCTGAAGTGGCGAAGGTTGGTTCTTCTATTATAATATCTCTCGATTCTTTTTTTTCCACAACCATCCGAACGAGTGCAACTTCTCGTTTTTCATCCAATAGTTCGAGGCTAGTATTCATAGCCTCGTGATTTTATTCTTCCGTTGTATGTCAAAATCTGGCACTAGGTTCCCCGACTTTGACTGGAATCAAGGCTTCAGAGCCATATACTAAGGAGAACGGGGTTGCCCCCGTACTGGACTTCGATGTTGTTCGATATGCCCAAAGGACCTCAGGTTGAATTTCTCTCCATTTCCCCTTGGCGTCATTCAATCTTTTCTTTAGATTCTGAATGATAGTTTTGTTCGTTGACTTGGCCTATCTGATTCCACTTGGATGACACGGTGTCAATAAGATCCTTTTTATTTTATATTCTTCGAGAAACTTTTTTACCTTGTTGCCGATGAATTGCTTTCCGTTGTTGCATATGATTTTTGCAAGTACCCCGAATCGGCATATGATGTGATCCCAGATGAAGTATATAACTTCTTCTTCTCTGACTTTCTCGAAGGACTGTGCTTCCACCCATTTAGAGAAGTAGTCAATCATAAATAAAATGAATTTAGCTTTACTTGGAGCCAATGGCAGAGGGCCGACGATATCCATCCCCCATTTCATGAATGACCATGGGGATATGACCGAATGAAGTTGTTCCCCAAGCTGATGGATCATTGGCGCATAGCTTTGGAATTTATTATATTTTTGAACAAACTCCTTAGCATCTTTTTCCATACTATCCCAATAATATCCTACTCTGATGATTTTGTGAACTAGTAATTCGGCACCGAAGTGGTTCCCACAAGTACCTTCATGCATTTCTCGTAGAACATAATCGGTAACCCTTGGTCCCAAACATACTACTAATGGTCCGTCAAACATCCTCCTGTACAATGTTCCATTTTCAGCCAATGTGAATAGAGCAGCTTTTGTTGATATGGCCCTTGATTCTTTAGGGTTTGATAGGAGCTTTTCGTTTTTCAAGTACTTGATGTATTTATTCCTCCAACCCCAAGTTAAGCTTGTGGATTTTATCTCTAAGTGACCTTCTTCGACCATGGATCTCGAGAGTTGGACGACTGTCCCCGAGCTAATCTCATCATCTTCGGCTAATGACCCTAAGTTTGCAAGGGCATCGACCTCACCATTCTGTTCTCGAGGTACGTGTTGTAGGGTCCATCCTTTGAACTGGTGTAAGGTTACCTGCAATTTATCCAAGTACCTTTGCATTCTGTCTTCTCGGACTTCGAAGGTTTTATTGACCTAGATAACCACGAGCTGGGAATCACAGTTGGCCTCGATGACTTCAGCACCCAAACTTTTAGCCAGCTCGAGACTTGAAATCATGGCCTCAAACTCGGTCTCATTGTTAGTCAAATTAGGGGTTTTGATAGATTGTGTACTAGTGTTGCCTATGGGCGGCATCAAAACGATGCCTAGCCTAAACCCCTTCACATTCGAAGCACCGTCTATGAAAAGGGTCCACACCCCCGATGATGTAGCTAATTTTAACAAGAGTTTCTTCTCGACTTTGGGTACGAGGGTTGGCGTGAAATCGGCCACGAAGTCTGCTAAAATTTGAGACTTGATGGCCTTTCAGGGTTGATATTCGATATTATACCCACTGAGTTAGATGGCCTATTTGGCCAATCAGCCGGATAGCTCGGGCTTATACAAAAGATTATGAAGTGGGTAAGTGGTTAGTACACATACGGGGTGACATTGAAAATACAGTTTTAGCTTCGTAGAGGCGCTTATCAATGCAAGTGCCAATTTCTCTAAGTGTTGATATGTAGTTTCTGCTTCTCCTAGAGTTCGACTTACATGATAAATAGGAAATTGTGTACCTTGCTCTTCTCGAACCAGGACACCACTTACCGCGATCTCTGAGACTACCTAGTATAAGTAGAGTTTTTCATCTGCCTTTGGAGTACGAAGCAATGGTGGGCTCGAGAGGTATTGCTTGAATTCTTCTAACGCCTATTGGCATTCCATGGTCAAGGCAAAATCGTTCTTCCTTTTGAGTAGAAAGACGAATCTATGGCTCCGATCCGTCGATCTTGATATGAATCGGCCTAAGGAAGCTATCCGCCCTGTTAACCTTTGCACGGCTTTAACGCTGTCTATGATGGTGATGTCTTCGATAGCCTTGATTTTATCGGGGTTGATCTCGATTCCCTGATTTGACACCATAAAGCCAAGGAACTTGCCCGAACTGACCCCAAAAACGCATTTATGAGGGTTGAGCTTCATGTTGTATTTTCTCAGTATCTTGAATGTTTCTTGCAAATATATCAAATGGTCCTCTGCGCGCAGGGATTTTACTAGCATGTCATCAATATATACTTCCACTGATTTACTATCTATTCTTCGAACATTTTATTTACTAGGCATTGGTAGGTAGCTCCTACGTTTTTTAGCCCGAAGGGCATTACATTATATTAATATGTTCCATACTTTGTGATGAATGAAGTCTTTTCTTGGTTTTCTGGGTTCATTTGAATTTGATTTTACCTGGAATAGGCATCGAGATAACTAAGGATCTCGTGGCCAGCTGTAGCGTCAATCATGCGATCGATGTTAGGCAGTGGAAAAGAATCTTTGCGCCATGCCTTGTTTAAATCCTTATAATCTACACATATCCTAAGTTTGTTCCCTTTTCTAGGAACTATGACTACATTAGCGAACCATTTGGTGTACTTTACTTCCCGAATGGACCCTATTTTGAGAAGTTTAGTTACCTCGTCCTTTATAAATGCGTGCTTTACATCGAACTGGGACCTTCTCTTTTGTTTTACCTGTCTGAACTGTGGGTCTAGGCTTAGTCAATGCTTTGTTATTTCTGGCAGGATCCTGGTTATGACTAAGTGGGACCAAGCAAAACAATCTGTGTTACCAATAGGAAAATGAATTAGTTTTTTCCTGAGTTCGGGGGTTAACCACATTCCCAAGTATACCTTTCACTCGGGCAGGTGCTCGATCAATATAACTTGTTCCAGCTCTTTGACCATTGATTTGGTGGCGTCGGAATCTTCTGGAATAACAAATGTTCGTGGGGTCAAAAAATCTTCCTCTTCCTCTTCCATTTCCTGCTTCTCCGATTTGGTAGAGGCTAGCGGCGGTGATTGCTATTTGGCATCCTGTTTACCCTTGATGCCTGATCCTTCCGATGTTGATAGCACTAAAATCGGTATTATCTCATCGGTCGCGAACATTTCTTTTGTAGCATGCTGCTCCCCGTACAATGCTTTTACCCCGTCCGATGTCGAGAATGTCATCATTTGGTGGAGAGTAGAAGGGACTGCCCTCATGTTGTGGATCCGAGGACTCTCGAGTAGGGCATTGTACCTCATGTCACCCTCGATCACGTGAAACATGGTATCTTTGATCGTTCCAACCACGTTCACCGGTATGATAATCTCTCATTTAGTTGTTTCACTGGCCATATTGAAACCGTTCAAGACCCGAGCTGCGAGCACGATCTGATTTTGTAGGCCGAGTTTATCCAGAACCCTCATTGGGATGATATTTACTAAGCTACCTGGATCCACTAAAACACGCGTAACTTGAACTTTATTCAATAAGATAGGGATTACCAGAGCATCATTGTGAGGTTGAGAAATTCCTTTTGCCTCCTTATCACTGAATGATACGGTGCCTTCTGGCACATAGTCTCGGGTCTGTTTCTCCCCAGTAATTGATACCTTAGTGCGTTTTAACATGGCCCCTTGTGGAATATTGACCCCTTCGGCGATCATATTAATTACATGTTGTGGCTCTTTCTGTTCAATTTTCTTGTTGGCGTCCCTTTTCCTAAAATGATTCTTGGCTCGATCACATCGGAATACTCGAAGTTGGCCTGCATTGAATAAATGGGCTACCTCCTCTCTCAATTGCCTGCAATCCTCAGTCCTGTGACCATACGTGACATGATATTTACACATTAGATTGAGGTTTCTTTGGGAAGGTCGGTCTGTATGGGCCTAGGCTATCTGGTGTCTTTGATTCTTCCAATTGCTGATACAATACCTAACACATCGACACTAAAATTATACTCCGATAATCAAGGTGCCTCTGTGGGGTCGGTGTACTTTTCAAAACCATTTTTGCTCATGAGTCCCCGAGAATTCTGTCCTCGATCGCTTCTCCGATCGTTCTGGACATGATTGCGTCCTACACCACTGTTCCTGCGGTCTGAGGTGTATGGTTGATATCGTTCTTTGTTCGATCTTGGATCTCTATTGATGTCACTCTGATTTATGGAAGCTGACCTATTCGGGTGCACTGAAATGGAAGGAGCTCCTAATTGGTCATCCTCGACCCTGATCTTCGATTGGTACCGATTGTGTACATCTGCCCAAGATACAGCCGGATATTCGATCAGATTTTGCTTCAGTTGATGTGATGCTATCAAACTTCGTTCATTCAATCCATGAGTGAAAGCTTGAACAGCCCAATCATATGTGACCGGTGGAAACTCTATGCGTTCCATTTGAAATCGGGATACAAATTCCCTCAACATTTCATTATCCCTTTGTCTTACTTTTAAAAGGTCTAATTTCCTTGTCGCAACCTTTATAGCTCCGGCATGTGCCTTTACGAAAAAGTCTTCCAACATGGCAAACGCGGCGATGACATTTGGTGGTAGATTGTGGTACCAAATCATTGCTTCTTTTGATAGGGTTTCCCTGAACTTCTTCAATAAAATAGATTCAATCGCATCATCTTCCAAATCGTTACCCTTAATGGCACATGTGTAGGAGGTGACACGCTCATTGGGATCGGTGGTCCTATTGTATTTAGGTATGTCTGTTATACAAAATTTCTTTTGAATGGGTCTCGGAGCCGCACTCGAAGTGAACAATTTTTGTACAAATTTCTTCCAATCCATCCCTTTCAAGATTTGTGGTGCCCCTGATATCTGATCAACTCAGGAGTTTTATGTTTCCACTTTTTATCATTAACTTCGATTTTCTTCTCTCCTGACTCAATTCTTTTGGTGAGCTCCTTGAGCATTTTCATTATTGCAGGATTTGTCCCCGATTCGTTGCCATTCGACCTTTCTGGCACTAGCTCGGTAAGGCGAGTGATTTCTGGCTCGACCCCACTCGGAGTTCTATGTTGATTTTGTAACTGAGATATAGCATCCTGTTGAGCCTATAGCATCTCGAATATCACCTGGATACTAACTCCTCTGTCTCCTTTGTCCTATGTATTTCGGCCACCAGATTGGCCTTCTCTGTGTAGACTCCCTTTAGGGTCCGCGCATAGGTCTGCATTTAAAAACACGTGCGAACTAACATGGACTGGATTAGCAACTAGTGCTCCCTCAAGATTAGCCTGTGGCACCTCGGCTCCTGGAGCAATTGCATTGTCGTTTTCCCCGTAAAACGCGAGACTATCTTTACCAATTGTGGGTGCGTTTTGTGAGTTTAACTTTTTTTAACCTGAGAGCAAAGATACTTGACAAGAACAAGGGTAAAATAATGTGTGTTATCAGAATCAGCACCGAAAAATCACTATTATCCTCAGCCCCAGGGTGGCGCCAAACTGTTTACTCTCAAATTCGGATAACAATTAAACTTATATTGTGGTTTTAAGGATATGTGATTTCGTTCAATACTAATTTATAAGCAAGAAAATAAATGAATTAAATTATAGAATAAAATAAATCAAACCAGTATGCTAGCCGGGTCTCGACCTTGACGTGGGGTAGTCTCGAGTTCGGATAGTAAGAATAGTAAATGATAAAACAACTCTGATGAACAGAAAGTGAAATAGCAGGGAAGTAATGAGTGTATATATTCTTATTAGTGAACAATGATCATGCTTACAAATGAATGGGATCCCTCTTTATATAATAGAGAAGTCCTAAATAAAGTACACTTCTAATTATAATAGGTAACAATATTAACATCTAATTAACCGTTGTAGATTGATTCGTTCTGAGATTCATGCCACGATCCTCGACCTATCGCAGATATATCGCCTTTTCTGTTATCAAGCTATGCCGATGTCTCTCAAAGTCTGCCTCTTTCTAGCCACAATCAATGTCGATCTCGGTCCAGACTCGACGTCCTAGCTCTTTGACGTGACATTCTTATCTCGACCAAAGAATGAAATTAGGTAGCCCCGATTTCTACCGTATACAACTTTGATGGGCTTAAGGTCTTTTAATCTATGTTTTGATGATCTAAAAAAATTTCTGTATAGAACCAGATAAAGGACCTAAATCATGCCTGGTACAATTATTATCAAGTTAATCAACTCAAGATAATCTGGGCAGTGTGCCTTTAGTTTCACAAGAACCGGATTAGGGACCCGATTCCTTGGTGTTCCCCTATTAGAAGAATAAGTCAACTATATAGCTAGAAAACAACTGCAGAAAGTGACTGCCTGCAACTGTACACGCGACAGTGCAACAGATAGTGCAGGAGTCACTTCCCATTGGGAAGAGGCATGTACGAACCAAGAATTGACATCACCATTGTGAATTGACATCACCATGGTGATGTCTTTTGTAGTATAACAACCTAGTGCAAGGCAAAAGACAACATTTTTGATCATTTTCGGTGATATTCTTTCAAGTGCCAAAAACACCTCTCTCAAGAGCAAAGTTGTTGCAACCTCAAGGACCAGATCCAAAGATTGAAGATATCTTAAGTCCTTAGGTTTGTTGAGTCTTTGTTATTTGTTCTTCATTGTAACTCCTATCTTGCATTATTAGAAGCTGTGTTTTAGGAAACTCAAAAACATAAACCATCTGAGTTTGTGTCTTGGCTAGAGTTAGTCGAGTTATGAAGTCTTTGTAATAGAGTTATTACAAAGTGTCTTGTAATAGAGTTGTTACAAGTTAGTGAGTGGTTAAGTCTTTGTAATAGAGTTATTAAAAAGTGGCTTGTAATAGTGTTGTTACAAGTTAGAGTGATTAAAGTCTTTGTAACTCGAGAGTGACAAAGTGGCTTGTGGTAAGAGTATCACAAGTTAGTTGAGTTGAATTCTTTGTAATGGAGTCATTACAAAGTGGATTATAATAGGTGTTTACAAGTTAGTGAAGTTGAAATCCTACCAGAGTAGGTCGTGGTTTTTGTACCCTTGAGTTGGGATTTTTCCACGTAAAAATCTTGTGTCTCATTTACATACTAGTTCAGTAGTTAGCACTATGGGAACTGATATAGGACCATATCTCTATATAGTTTGGTTCATTAAAATTTTCAGTGGAAACTCACAGAGGACCAGGTATTCTATAGTTGGTGGACTCATATAAACTATCAATTGGTATCAGAGCGGATTCTTTCTAAAAGGTTAACACCTAGAAAGGATCACAATGGTTGCTCCACCTAACATTGAGGAAGGACAATAAACCTACAAATCCCCTAGATTCAATGGTCAGTATTGCGGTTGGTGGAAGACTCGTATGCATGATTTCATAATGGCAGAAGATTCAGAGCTGTGGGACGTCATTTGTGATGGTTCACATATTCCTATGAAGAAGCTTAGAGAAACTGGAATAATGGTGTCACACCTCCTTTTTCCGCCCTCGCGAGGGTACAGGAGTTTTTTCCAATTAAAGGACAG